GAGAGAAAATATCTTTTGACGGCCATTTTACGCTTTGCGTGGACCTCTGCATTCAAACAGTTTTTCCTATTTAAGTCATTCAGTGCAAAATCTGCAATGAGAATGACAACGACAAGGTGGCATGGAGTGACATGACGATTTCGTGTTTTATCATTTAATGCTTTTTCTGAAATTTTTAAGGCTCCTAAATTCGGCATAGGATTTTTAGGGTTAATTTTGGGTCCAGGGATTTATTTGAATTTTGTTGGAAGCCTACTGGGACTTTATTGGGTTATGATTTATGCCTCCATTCGATCATTCCCGTCTCTTAAAGTTCGGAGTACCCCCCTTGGGCTAAGCAACATTGGAGGCGTATGGAAGGGAGAGGGTGAGGTAGCCGGTGGGGGGAGGGGGGGGGGCTATGTGACCGTTAAGTTAGGTGTCCTTGATGGAGTCCCCCTTTTTTGACCCTTTCAATCTTCCACCGAGTCAAAAATAAATGCAAGGGTTGAAGTTTTAACTTCCAGTCTGCGGATCAAAACTAACGGTTTACTTTCGCAATTGGTGACATTTTTACACAATGGAATTTGGGAGTCGATTTTGGTCATACCTAGGAACGTTAGTCGTAACTTGCGGTTGATATTATTTTTGAAAATTTAATTGCAGACTTAAGGGAAGACTTTTTTATTGATGAAGCCGGAGCATGATGAGAATATTATGAAAATAGACAATGCCTTTTGTTTTACAATTTTACGAAAATGTTCCCTTCTCAGTGATATCACTGCAGCGCCTTATAATTTTAAGGCTGGATTTCACAATCATTCAAGCAATCGCATCCCTTTTGTTCCAACTCATGAACCACAAAAAGACCCCAGCTATCCTTGTATAAACATCGAGAATTTATGGTAATTGAAAACATATTAGTTAAATTGCTGTATAACAGCGAATAAAGCCGTTTGAAAGAGATGGCACTGAGCTTAACGTAGCAGGCGGTGGGAGTAACTAGAGCTTGATCAAAGGACCAAGGAATTTGCCATCCTGTGAGATAAAGGAAAACGCTGTTTACCGACTTTTAAGTGATTAAAAGTAGACATTGTACGGCTTTTAGCTATGAGTTGTATTAGAGGAAAAGCAAACAAACATTAAATTTGAATTATCTTCATATTTTTTAACATTTTCTAAGAAGCGATTGAAAAGTGCCACGCGCAATCCCCAATCACTTGTTTATTTTACTTACACATGACTATTTTATTACTCCATTTAAAGTCGTGACTTCTCACGTGAAAATATAAAGAATATAAACCCAAAAGGCACAAGGTTTTGGGATTTATTTATCTAAATACTGCTCTGAAGGAATATGCTATACCCATTATGATTCCTTACATACTTTAGCCATTTAGAAAACTTATACATTTGTTAAAATAGAGTATTAAATGTCGCCAAGTACCATTTTTACTACCCGATTGTCAAGTAAGTACCCCAGGTGTAATACCGATTAACGTTTGATAGTGAGACATCTGTCTTTTTATTTGCCTAAATCGATTCGATTTTTATGGTTTCCTGTGAGGATTATAAATATTCGAACAGAAAAAATAATTGGAAGATGTAGGGTACGGTAGATTTTAAAACAAATCTGCGACCCGCAAGAAAGACTCGTTTGTAACATCTGTCTCGTTGTATTGAATTGAAAGTCTTTTTTACAGTCATTTTCTTCCCCATTTTGCAAACCTTTGCCGCTTAAGCGCCGACGTTTTATTAGTGAATAGGAAATCTCAATAGGAACTATTTAGGTATTTCCGCAAATAAATTAACAGCACATTTAAGTTTCAATGTAAATTAAAGTTTCAGCACTTTGAGCCATTTGTCACAGAAACCAAGCTGGTCACCACAATAACGCTTTGTAATGAGATAGTCTTATCGCGGGATAAACGCCGCTTAGCCTAGCGATCCTGGCCTAGTGATGCTGATAAATTTTTGATAAAAATTCTAAATCTATGCGAATGATGCCTGTGTCAGGTGACCGCCCACAACTTTCAGTGCTTAGCCTTATCTAAGGATCTAGTCGTGTTTAAAGAAAGTTGCCTTTATCTGATCGTTTGTTTCAACTTTGGCTCGCTATTAAAACATGTGGCTTTTGTGTGACTTCCTCGTGAAAGACTGGCCCCCGGGCTAGCTTAATGGCTGGATTTGTTTGTCGTGGGGTAATATGCATCTCTACAAGAATGTCCTCAATCAAGTTGGTCTGTTAGCGATGTAAAAGAGAGTTGAAGGTATATACAGGAACTATAGAGTTCTTCACTGTCCTGTTCATAATTAGCTCTCTGAGATTTTGGAACGCGTTTGTTATTGAATGTCCCCATCCGATTTGACCATCCTTTGGCTCCAGGATATAATTGAGCATAAATATAGTCGGAATATTTTCACAGCAAGATATTTTCCGTGATATTAGATCATATATATTTTTATTTTGTGCAATGTGCGTTCAATTATTTCGCCAATCAACTTGAGGAAATCTTGAGCAAAATACTCAAGCCAGTCAACTTTTCATTTTAAACGGAGTAACACTGTTTGACTAGAGTACGAAGTACACGCAGGTAAGAAAAATAATGTTAACGTGTTAATGGGAAAGCACTTATCTTATCCCCTAATATCCAATCACACGATATCATTATCTTTTGAAACTAAGATTAAATTGTCGTCAACAACAAGAGTACGTCGTTAAACTGTCAAGGGTCGATGGTTTGAGCTGGCCCAAAAGTTAAAGTGACTTTATCATCTTCAGCATGTCATAAATTACACTGGAGGAACTGACCGAATTGAGCCCAGAATCGACGCCGTTTTCTGAAGCCGTCAACTGCGGTTATCGGTCTACAATAACGGCTCTGAAAGTTAGAGTAATTACTTACCGTTATTGATAACCGTATTATTCAACAGTATTATATAAAATTGTAAAGCTATTTGGAAAAACTACAAAGATTGGTAACTGCTAGTGATCTCCAAACCGTCCGTATGAAAAGGGTGTGGTTGGAAGTGTTGGAATGGTATCTATTTGTTAAATTTTCTTTCATCTCTAACTAACCTTTTAACCAGCAGCTTAGCTATTTAAAAAGTTGAACTGTTTTTCTTTATGAATTTAATGATTTATTAATGTCTAAAAACCCAGTCAACGGTCCTGAATAACACTGCAAATTAACATCACGGTATTTCTTTAGAATACATTTTAGCCCCAGTATAGTCTGTCCACTAATCATCGATGAATCGTCCACCCTTAAAACGATTTCAGCAGGGACTTTTTACGACCTAACAATGTTCAAATTCATTTTATCTCAGTGACTAATAATCGAGCAGTGGCATCCAAAGGAGAAAACACTCGCGACTCAAAAACGGCAAGAAAGCCACCGAAAACAAGACGAAAGAGGACAGCATTTACAAGTTTTCAGCTGAAATGCCTGGAAGAAAAGTTTATGATGAACAAATATCTGACAATTGCTGAGAGAGACATGTTAGCAAAATCACTTCAACTCAGTAACAAGCAAGTAAAAACTTGGTTTCAAAATCGTCGAACAAAGTGGAAGCGAGAAAACGTTGGAGAAGCGATACATTTGGCTTATGAAATACAGAGAAGTGGTATTGGACCTTACCACCCTCCTTGGGTTCCCTTATGTCATTGCCCACCCCCACCCCCACCAGTGTACAGAATGAACACTATTTACTCGTGCCCTACTCCAACTTTTATTCCACCTCATGGAACACCATAAATCAAAATTACAAATGCATCTTTGGTTTTGTCTAACAGTTGAGGCTTGATTTAGCTGTAATTGTATTCTCACGGTACAGACAAGCCAGTGGCAAAGGAACTGGTTCTATCAATGAGGGCTGGCCAGTTCAACTCCTGCACTTTCTCACGGTCATAAAATGTAAATCATATTTTGCAGATAGCTATTTGAAAACTGAACGATCCGGCCTCCCGATTAATAGCGTGAGAACCGTAGTCTACTGAGGACAGAATTTAGGGTGTTGTGATAAATAGCTATTAATTACTGTCAGAACATAAGCTCTTTTGCTTTGCCGCCAATAGGGATATAAAATCCAATTGCACGAAACACATGCATAGAATAAGAAATGTGCTTCTGTGTGTTCTCAGCTCAATGTGGGAACGTGGGTCTCAGTGTTATTAAATCAACACGTCAACAACAAGAGTACGTCGTTAAACTGTCAAGGGTCGATGGTTTGAGCTGGCCCAAAAGTTAAAGTGACTTTATCATCTTCAGCATGTCATAAATTACACTGGAGGAACTGACCGAATTGAGCCCAGAGTTCAACAGTGGTAAAACGTCCTTTAGAGCTTTTAAAGCGGGTTCGGTCTACGCGTTGTAGCTCGTTGTCTTCAAATGGAGCTTAAGTGGGAGGGAATGAATCTCAGATGAGACAAAAAGGGAACTGTTTTTTTTTATCAGCTCGACTTTATCGATAATATCAGGTCTTGTTTCCTGATATTAAATATTGGATTTAAGGATACAGGTTATGATTAGATAAACTGAGTTCAGTGACGTTTCTATTAGTGATGAATCAACAGATGTAGGTATAAACCTCCGCGTTCCCCTTACCACAGCTGATTCGTTGCCTTTACTCTATTCTCATTGTGACCAATGGTAAAACCGTGAAGAAAACAGTCTCAAAATTAAACCATGATAATATTACGTAATGGCTTCCTATTGGCGATACCATAAGATTTCGTCCAAAGACTCGAGACCTATAGAGTTGAACTAAATTCTGTGTAACCCAGGCATTTCAAGGAAATGGCACTATATAAATATAAAGTTATTGTTATAATTGTTACTTTTATTTCCTTCTTTTTTACTAAAAAGAAAACATTTATTGCTTAGTGTGCTTTAACTGAATATTAACATCTACTGAAAATCAGCGTTGTAACATTTCTATGCCATTACCACTAAAATGCGGTAAATTCCGAGTGATGAAGAAATCGTTACTTTCACGTTTTAGTGCTCAGCCTTAAGATAATGGAACAAGCCAATTCCGCAAATTTCACCATCGCTGCGTTGTTGGGTTCAGCCAGGCCTCAGCAAGCACTTGTTAGGGACACGGATGTGATTCATGAGAGGCTTCACGAAGCACAGCGTAATCGTCTTCAGTCACTGATGGGAAGCGATGAAGAAGAAGACCAGGAGTCACAAATCCCAGGTAACATTTCTGTTTACAGTGTTTAGGATCGACAAATACCCATATGAAAATAGCGCTTAACAACCCTGACTGTCTGCATGTAACCTTGTAAAAAGTTGCCTTTTCGAGGCCAGTTTTCATTTCTCCAGAGACGTAACTACAACTGAGGAACTTAGCGGCATGTCAGTACGAGCTATTACAACCAGTCGTTTGGAGATTGTTACGAAAAAAAATTACACTTGACGACGTCGCCACAAATAACTGATTTCTTTAATTGTGTAGTAGGGATTCATTTATTAAAGTGTACTAAACATTTTGGTAGCTAACTAAACATATGTTTTTCAGTGATCTTGACAGAACCGGTAGGTGAGGTTTTGCAACGAAACACACGTTATAAGAAAAAACGTACTCTTGAATTATTAGGCTTTCTCAAATCCAGCCAATTTACCCAACTAATAATTTCTTTTTATATTACTTTATAATATCAACTGAAAAGAAATTTGTCGACTAAGATACACAGCGTATTATGTGTTTGTGGGAGAAAGTGCGGGATTGAGGGTGTGGGGCCGATGTAGTTTTAAATTTGCTTCTTTTTTAACTAATGTCCCACTCACACCAACTAAACATGTTTAATTAAAGCAGGTTTTAAAAAATGAAAAACATGCACTGAAAACATTTACACACAGGATTCAAATGAACTTAACCATGCACATAATGCAGTTTTTCTACATAATTTGTAATAGCCAAAAGTCAGTAGCAGCTTTTACGAGGGAAATTGTTCAGTTAAAACTGTGTTTAACTACACAGCTTTTTAACATGTTTAAATGGGGTATAACACAGCAACATGACTTATGAAAATACCTTGCATTTATAGCAACATATTTTTGAAAAAATAACAAAATGGCTTTGATCATGAAAACATAAATTTAAGTTCTGTAATAATAGCAACAAAAGAAATCTCGACGCCGTTTTCTGAAGCCGTCAACTGCGGTTATCGGTCTACAATAACGGCTCTGAAAGTTAGAGTAATTACTTACCGTTATTGATAACCGTATTATTCAACAGTATTATATAAAATTGTAAAGCTATTCGGAAAAACTACAAAGATTGGTAACTGCTAGTGATCTCCACACCGTCCGTATGAAAAGGGCGTGGTTGGAAGTGTTGGAATGGCATCTATTTGTTAAATTTTCTTTCATCTCTCACCAACCTTTTAACCAGCAGCTTAGCTGTTTAAAAAGTTGAACTGTTTTTCTTTATGAAGTTAATGATTTATTAATGTCTAAAAACCCAGTCAACGGTCCTGAATAACACTGTAAATTAACATCACGGTATTTCCTTAGAATACATTTTAGCCCCAGTATAGTCTGTCCACTAATCATCGATGAACCGTACACCCTTAAAACGATTTCAGCAGGGACTTTTTACGACCTAACAATGTTCAAATTCATTTTATCTCAGTGACTAATAATCGAGCAGTGGCATCCAAAGGAGACAACACTCGCGACTCAAAAACGGCAAGAAAGCCACCGAAAACAAGACGAAAGAGGACAGCATTTACAAGTTTTCAGCTGAAATGCCTGGAAGAAAAGTTTATGATGAACAAATATCTGACAATTGCTGAGAGAGACATGTTAGCAAAATCACTTCAACTCAGTAACAAGCAAGTAAAAACTTGGTTTCAAAATCGTCGAACAAAGTGGAAGCGAGAAAACGTTGGAGAAGCGATACATTTGGCTTATGAAATACAGAGAAGTGGTATTGGACCTTACCACCCTCCTTGGGTTCCCTTATGTCATTGCCCACCCCCACCCCCACCAGTGTACAGAATGAACACTATTTACTCGTGCCCTACTCCAACTTTTATTCCACCTCATGGAACACCATAAATCAAAATTACAAATGCATCTTTGGTTTTGTCTAACAGTTGAGGCTTGATTTAGCTGCAATTGTATTCTCACGGTACAGACAAGCCAGTGGCAAAGGAACTGGTTCTATCAATGAGGGCTGGCCAGTTCAACTCCTGCACTTTCTCACGGTCATAAAATGCAAATCATATTTTGCAGATAGCTATTTGAAAACTGAACGATCCGGCCTCCCGATTAATAGCGTGAGAACCGTAGTCTACTGAGGACAGAATTTAGGGTGTTGTGATAAATAGCTATTAATTACTGTCAGAACATAAGCTCTTTTGCTTTGCCGCCAATAGGGATATAAAATCCAATTGCACGAAACACATGCATAGAATAAGAAATGTGCTTCTGTGTGTTCTCAGCTCAATGTGGGAACGTGGGTCTCAGTGTTATTAAATCAACTGCAGATATGCTATTTTCATGGTTAGTTTTTGAAAAGTAGACAGGAGCCCATCAGCTCCTGAAGTAGACCAACCCTTACAATGGGGAGACTGACTATAGAACTTAGACTTAGATAATTGGTCAACCAAGGGTTTGCATGGGGTATAGGTATATACTGAGCTCTTTTTAATCGGGTATACAGTTGTTTTTACATTACACAAACTCAGTTAAGTAATGAACTGGACTTATTCTAATGATTTTTCGCATGAGTTTATTGGCGAAGGCACGAGCGAATGTATAACTGGTAGTCATATCAACTAGTTGCAAATATTTTGTAATAGTTACATTACAGATGGTATAAAGTAGGCTGCTAAAATTGATACTGTAGCAAATTCCTCAAGTTTTGTACGTGGTAAATGTGACAGTAACGAGGCTCTTTAACCCTTTAAGGACGTTGTAATTGGAATCGCGCTAAACTAAACAAAAGCGGTGTTTGCTTGCTTTGGTCAAACCGCAGTTGTAGAAAGATAAATGGATATCTTGCTCATAAATGGCAAGTATTAATAGCAGATAAACGTCAGTGTCATAAACAACTTTGACACTTAAAAAAATAGATTTTTATCCCCTGGAAAGGGATTTACCAGCTGGGTAGCAAGAACTTGGGTACTTCACTACCTAACTGGGCCAAGAGACACGGAAATCCGATTAATAAACCGAAAAAGGAACCAATATGGGTTCCTATCCTCTGACCGAAATCCTTTTCAAATAAAATCTTTCCTCTTTTAACTGTGCTAAGTGTCAGTTTTCTTTCCTTTTTGGACTCGAGGCAGCGTCATTGATTACCGGCTCTTCAGGCTTGGTAATACTTGCTGCTTTTCTTTTGAGGGAGCAATGGCAGCTACATATTTAATTGAATGGTAATTTCGCCTAATTCCTCCTCGGCAGGTTGTTTTAAAACATCTTCAGTTTCATGCAGTCGATATCCATAGTGATTAGATCCTTAAGGTCGACAAATATCGTCATATGAATTGCACCTTATACCGGATATCAATAACTCACTAAAAAGGAAATTGCAAAGAAAAAAGGTAGCAAAACTTAAAGAGTAAAAAAAGTTTGTTTAAGAGGCTTATGTCGCTGAGATATTGCTGTTGCAGGATAATTCCGTGCTGTCATTACTTAGTGCCAGTCTCCCTTGTTAGAACCTATACCCGGCCGACCCATACACAAATGCTCCCGTGGATCGAGTGACGAGCTTCATGCACGCATCAAGACTTGACAAAACTGACCCAACCCTTTTAATTTTCACTCCATGTGCATCCTCGTCTTTCGTAGCATTACAGACCATGAGATAAAGGTTCAATGCCTAACATAGTCTTTCATTGTGAAAGGTTTGAACCCAGGAGTCATTTCATAAGTAGGTTGTGTACGATCGTCCCGGTGAACGTAGTCCTGAATAGGACTGTTGTTGTTGACAGTAGCTGACGTTTCCACAACCTGTGCAGTACTCATGCATCTTCAAAAAAAAACTGAAACATTATTTTTCTGGAATTCAATGAATACAAGATACGTTTTCGCTTTTAAAAAACATAGCATAGCCCCTTTAAAATCGCCCCCTCGATGAAAACGGACCGATGTAAACAATCTCAAAAAACACCAGAAACCATATACCTTCACACAATAAACCTGTAAGTTCATTTTACTCGCTGCATGTGGTCACAATAATTGTAGACACCTTGTTCTTTGGAACGGATCTGATGTTAAAGAGAACAAGCGATATGGGTAGACATTAACATGCCCTGAAGGCTACTCCCCGTATAATAGCCCAAACTGGGAGGTTCCGCCAGAAAGGGGTATCTTTTTTTCTTTTTCAGGCTCCAGGTATATGAAAGTGTAGTGATTTCACTTGTAGAAGTACATGAAAGGGTAGAGAAATCTGTCGTTTTGGTCTGTAAAAAGGCGCAAAAGAGTTAGCAGATAAATTTTGTTTGTGAAGAAGTCGAGAAAACGTTCTGTTTTTGTGATTTATTCATATTTAAAGACGGTGCGTTTACAGCAGTTAAGGGATGCAAAGTTGTAAACTACTCTAAGTATGTAAAATGGGTGCCATTCGTTGATAGAAGGTGAACGAAAGGGTTACCTTTTTGGAAAGGGTTAGGGGTTGGATCTCGGGGCGGAGCCTCCCCTTATCAGACATTTTTTAGTTCCCAAATGCATGTCTTTGCCCTTATGTCCTCTTAGCGTCAACCGCGGAAAGATATTTACTTTCATGTTGGTGGATGAAATCCTACGTATGTTGATAATATTCAGATGAATCCTCTTACTCGCGCCCGATGACCTCTGGCCCTTCGGTCAGTCCCAATACGTGTTTTGTGAACATCAGATCCGTTCCAAGAACCGTGCTACCAGAATTGTGGCCTCACCAGCGGATATTCAACTCTGTTGGAGTTGGCGGTTTTAATGGAGTAGTTTTGTGGTTTTGTGTTTGGTGGTGGTGGTGGTGTTGTTGTCACGTTTTGTTTTGTTTTGTTCACATTCAATTTCCATGAAGGCTGATTTTTTAGTACTTTATTTCTACCTTTAAGATGGGATTTTACATTGTTAAGTTGAACTCCCTTGGTTCTCAGTGTAACGTGTCCCTATCAGTTTAAGCCAGTTTGCGTAACACGGCACGTGAATCAAAATTTATCAAAAGGGCAAGAACTTTCGGTAAATTGTGCTGGCGCTAGAATCATGAGCACCCTTTGGTGCACAGAAAACACTCAGACACTCATCACTTTTTTTTCTTCACAGTGATTTCTGCCAAATAAAACTGAAAAAAAAAACAACTAAAAATGAATTGGCCGGACGATAAACGTGTGACCATCAGCTTGTTTCGTTTGATCGATATGAAGTTAGCAATTTCCATTCTATCTTAGAAACTACACTCTAGTAGTGAGTGTACGTATAGGAAACACGCGCCAACTGCTGAGCTAAATTTGAAATTTCTCGACCACTTTCCACATTTTACACTTCAGGAGAATTAAACGTTAACGTATGAAATTTCATTTTCAAGACTGATTATACAGCCCAGCACCTATCCAACAGATCCATCTCTGATTGGCTCACTGAGCGGGAACAACGGAACACACGACATAAGGCTGTTTTCAGAAAATTATGTCATGTTTGCGTGATGTACAGTACTATTTCGCACCAATATGAAACACTACTTGGTTATTTCAGTAGCTATAGTCAACTAACCTTTGAGTCCCTCTGCGGGTATTTTCATTATGACCTGAAAAGGTACAGTGTGCTATCTACCTTCGATTCGTCCGCGGATGTTTTCAAAGTATCAAGCATGCAGACGAGAAACAAAGCGGGGACAGAACAGACCAGTCATAGGGTTGCTTTGTACACTTGGGTAGGGAAACACCCCTAGCAAGACACCACGGACTAACTAGAGAGCCGCTTTGAAACGGCAGTGCTCAGGTCAACTGCACTCGAATCAGATTTTCCTTCTCTGATTTTAGGGAAGGAGAACGTAACGGTTTTAAGCATGCGCTCAGCAGTCTTGTTCAGCACGGTTAAATGTAACAAAATATTATGTTCTGGTCTTTTGCGGCCAAACGCATTCATTACCAGGGCCATCCCCTCAGAACGACGATAGCGAGGGCAGCGAAAACGTCACTTTTAAAATGAACGCGTTTTTTCAAACTTTGTCGCGTTTATTCATATTCGCTGAAAATATCAAATGTAGGCGAATTTCCCTTTGAGGAGTTGATTTCATGGGGACTTGTACTGTATTCAGGAAAGTTTAGAAAAAGAATGAAAAATTCGTTCGAATGTTTACGCCCTCCATAACAGGTTAAATTTGGCATTTTCAAGTCGTAGTCGTGCAGAGAATGCAAAAAAAGGCGTGATGCACCCGAAGCTGTTGGTTTGCTAACCTAAACCTTTAGATGGCTTTCACAGTGACGTCATCAAATTGTAAAGCCAACATAGCGAGATTTTAAGAATTCTTATTTACACTAGGTTGAAGATAAACAAAAATCAAATCTTTGTACAAGTTTTCATTCCCGTGGCATGTTTCATTTCGAAAATACAGTAACTTGAACTTCCTAGTTTTCACAGTGCGTGACACCAAAATAGGAATGCTGACTCGTTGAAAAAAAGTATCTCCTCTTGATTTTCAGCAGTCAGCTGAGCAGTATAACCATTCCAAGTATTAGAGGATATTTTATGCGCAAGTATGCTAATTCTCGAGTGAAAAGAAGGAGCTTTTATACAAAAAGTGTACTCCAGATGTTTTTGTTGATTTTCCGCGGCCACATAGGTGCACCAAAACTGTGCACCAATTTGGCGTCTCCATACAAAGCTCTACAAAGGTGCGGGAAACGTTTCGGCAAATAACTCTGAAACTGTGAGCCACAAAGACCTGAGACTTGGACAAATTGTTTAAAAATTAGTCTTTCATAACATTTCATTTTCTTCACTTCTTCCACTGGACGGTTTCCAATTTATTTTGTTGTTGCGTGACAGTGAAAACGATCTATTGCTTTTTTGACGTTCTTGTCGCCGTTGCCAGCTCCCAAAGAGAGGTGTCGGAAAAGGTCCAGCAT